CCAGAGAAGCTTTATTCCTTAAGCTTTATGAGGATTTATGGGAGTTTTGACCTAGAGTTATGAGATATGGGGCTAAAACCTCATTTAGGAGCAAATAGTTGTTGTTTGAGCACCAAGGTTTGGACTTTACGTGATTATCATGCTTGGGGAGGCCCGATCTATGATTGTATGGAACAAATCTAACCTCAGAAGTGAGTTTGAGTTTATGCATGACATGGACTCGCCGAGTCTGAAGAATAGACTCGGCGAGTAGCATGAAGTTTGCCCGTAACCACTCAACGAGTGGTCTTGCCGAGTTGAAGGGACGACTCAGTGAGTCAGGGAGAGTCAGGGGGGACTGAGTTAAGCTGGAACTCACTGAGTTGTTCTTGAGACTCGGCGAGTTGAGTCGTGGTGGCCCCGCGATTTATGCCAGGTGAAACTCGTCTAGTCAGAGAAGCACTCAGCGTGTCAAGAGAGGATCCAAGGGAGTCAGTGGACACGTATAGACTCGCCGAGTCGCCCTACTACACTCGCTGAGTCCGGTCAAAGTTGACCGTTGACCTTTAGGGTTGAGTTCACTATTTATGAGTATATTACTTTGTGTGATTAGGCGGAGGCTAGATCACATTTATTCCGAGACAGATATTTACTGAGATACGCGAGGTGAGTCTTCTCACTATACTTTACCTTGAGTAGGTAAATAGAGTTATGTGATACAGTGTTTTATATATATTGTTGTTGTACTGCATTCTTCTATGTGATTTATGCTGTGCATGTTTGCAGAGTTAGAACCTGAAGGTTCACAGAGTTTAGTTGCACGAACCCACATAGTTATAGCCTCGAGTGGCTAATATGTGTTATATGTGGTATTTTGGGGAACTCACTAAGCTTTGTGCTTACAGTGTTTTGTGTTATGTGTTTCAGGTACTAGTAAGGATCGCGGGAAGGCGCCGGCTTGATCAGTACACACACGAGATTTTTATGCTATGAGATCTTGGGATTGTTATATGTTATAAATTGAGTTTCAAACAATGTTGTTTTTATGATTTACAAATGAATTATGCTTTTATAAATGCGAAAATTTGTTTTGGAAATTTTTGCTGTTACAAAAAGCCACTGTATTGATTGAGAACTGAAGAGGCTCGACGAGTCACATGGGTGTACTCGGCGAGTTGTATGAATATGAGCATGGACTCGACGAGTTTGAAGAACAACTCGACGAGTCTGTTAAAGATGGCCTTGAACCCGACGAGTCTGTTCTTGGACTCGACGAGTTTGGTGGTAGAACCCCAACCTCTTCTGGTTAAGTCTTGAATCGGTGAGTCGAGAGGTGACCCTGTGAGTTGAGCAGGATGGACTCGGAGATCTTTGGACTCGAAAAGTCTCGGGGTGACTCGGCGAGTTGGGTCGTGTTATAAGAGTTTCGGAGTATAAGTACTTGACGAGTCATTGGGTTGACTCGGCGAGTAGAGTCAGTCAGGAAGTTGGCTTTGTCCTGGACTTTGATTTTGACCTTTAAGGGTGTTATGGTGAATTTTTTATTTATGTCAATGGTCCACTGATGGTATTGGGTGTTGGAGTTTGGAGCAATGCTTCGGGAGAGTGCCTTCGCGGTTCGGTTCTTCGTTTCAGGTGAGTTATCCTCACTGTACTCAACGGTCTTAGGCATCAAGGCCAGCCCTTTTATTGTTTTCTATAGCTTGTTATGTACGTGATTATATGCTTGCTAGTACCCTGGCAGATAGGGAAGTAATATGATGTTATGCTCTGTTAGCTTAGTATCCTGGAGGATAGGATAGTTGAGTATTGGCAAGTTCTGTTGGATCAGAACCCTGGTAGTTGGGTAGTTTTTATGTTTATAGACCTGTAGTTGGTCTTGTCTTATGCACGCTGGTAGGAGATTACCTGTGATTTATGCATGTAGAGTAGTAGCAGAGGGTATTCCATCTCGGTAGGATGATAAGTCCCTAGCATGTGGATTTTGTAGAGTGGTATGAGGTTGCCTGTTATGTGTTCATGCTTGCTAATGTAGCGGCATTCCAACCCGATGGTTGTGGGCCAAGAGTATTCCATCCCGGTAGGATGATTGGACTCGTATTATGTTGTCATTCCAACCCGATGGTTGAGGGGCCTGGGGTATTCCATCCTGCGGGATGAATGGGCCCATAGTAATAGTAGTAGTTTGTATGCATAGGAAGTGGGGCATTCCAACCTGATGGTTGTGATCCAGGAGTATTCCATCCCGGTAGGATGATTGGATTCATAGTATATTGGCATTCCAACACGATGGTTGAGGGGCCTGGGGTATTCCATCTGGCAGGATGATTGGACCCATAGTAGTTATTGATGTAGGTATAGGTGTATCAGCATTCCAACCCGATGGTTGTGGGCCGAGAGTATTCCATCCGGGTAGGATGGTTGGACTCACAATATGATGGCATTCCGACCCAATGGTTGAGGGGCCTGGGGTATTCCAACCGGAAGGTTGATTGGACCCATAGTATGTTGTTCTTTGTTGTATGAGTATGTTTATGTGTGTATGGGTACTTTGGGGGAACTCACTAAGCTTTCGGGCTTACAGTGTTGGTTTATTGTTTTAGGTATTTCAGGAGATCGTGGCAAGACGAAGACGTGATCGTACCGCTCCTCATGTTTTATGTTTTTATGATATGATTCTGGGAATACTCTGATGTTTAAACTATTTTGAAAACGAGTTGTATTAACTTAATGGTTTTTGGATGAAACAAAATGTTTTAAATTGGTTGAAATTTTTAGACATTACAAACCCCTTCGTTTCTTTGCACCCACCCTTGAATGTTCTATACTTCCAAACCTTTGATCAATTAATCTCTAGGTTAGGTTCTCATATGGGTTTAATCAAGATTACATGTTATGCATTTGGAAATCTTAAAGCTAATGATTTGATTCTAAATTATTTCCCAACTTTAAGTAGAGGGAGAATGAGAGTCAAAGAGTGACTAAGAAGCAGAGAAAGAGAGAGAGAGAGAGAGAGAGAGAGAGAGTAGGTGTGCAAACGAGCAAAGCTACTCGTGAGCTACTCGGGATCAGATCGTTAAAAGCTCGACTTAAAATCGATATTAAACGAGTCTGAGTCGAGCTCGAGCTTAATATTAAGCTTGTTTATTAAACGAGCTCGAGCTCGAGCCTATGTTAATAAGCTTGATTAGGCTCGCGAGCTTAAATGAGCCTTTATATAATATAATTTATTATTATTTATATATATTAAAATAAAAACATATTAGGAGAATTATGGATTTAGAGTATTAGTAAACGAGCTTCTTAACGAGATCGATCTGAACTTAAGCTTATTTAGGCACATCAGTTAAAAAACGAGTCGAGCACGAGCCAATGTTGTATAATTCTGTACGAGCTCGAGCCAAACTCAGTACAAGAAAGCTTGAATCGAGCCGAGCTCGAACTCGAGCCTCATATAACTTAAATGAGCCCGAACCGAGGCTGGCTAGGATCGGGCTCGGCTCGGCATGTTTGCACCCCTAAGAGAGAGAGAGAGAGAGAGAGAGAGAGAGAGAGAGAGAGAGAGAGAGAGAGAGAGAGAGAGAGAGAGAGAGAGAGTACGGTGGGGTGACCTATTTTTTTTTAAATATTCATATAATACAAAAATGTGAAAGATAAATTAAATGGAAAAAAATCATATTAAAATTTTGAGGATTAAAACCATCAAAGTTTCAAATTTTGAACCATGAATGCAGTTTTTACAAATGGGCAAATTTTGTAATTCCATAAAATAAAAAACAATAATAAAGTGGGTTAAGTAGGGAATTAAGGAAATAAACCGTATAGGGCTCTTTTGGGCGGGAAGAAAGCCATGCAACGGTACAGGGATGTCGCGTTAATCCGTTAAAGTCGGCCGTAGGTGTGTGCGCTTTTATAAAAAAAATAAAAATAAAAATAAAAAACCATGGGAATTTCTGTTGCGCTATTTTTTTTATCACCAAAACTCCAAGGATTTCATCAAAGAGTAGTCAAAGCGACAAATCAATGAAATAGGGGCATCATGGTCCTTCGACGTTCTCGCCCTAGAAATTCAGAATCCTAATTCAATGATCGAGAAAGGAACCATTTTGCAGATTTTGATCCAGAATGCTTTGATTGGTTACACAGATTGAATTAAGGCATTGAAATTAGAGGTATGGTTCCTTAAATTAATGATTTTATGAATTAAGTTAGGTTTTGTACTCAGCCCGTGTATATGGAGAAATTCATATATCTTCAGGCTAGTTACCGAAATTAACAACAGATATAATTAATTAAAACTAGTGGTAATTTCATTGGATACCGAAATTAACAACAGATATACTTAGGGCTTTCAGTTAGAAGCTAGGTAGGACATGTAGATTACTTGAGTTGAATCATGGGTCTTATCACCGGTTGAACCTGCCTTCGCCTTAGGCAAAATCAAAATCGGATATTTTGCAATGAATTCATGCAAGGTCATAGCAATTGAGTGTTGGGTAAATCTTAAAATCTGGAAAATTAGTTATGCAATTATTATAGGCTATGATCAATGTTGTTGTACCTCATCAAGTAGGATATTAGAAGCTTGAAATCACAATATATAACTTGTTCCTCACCATCTTGAAGGAAAGCTAGACATCTCTTTTTTGGTCATTTTAATGTGTAAGATTATATAAATGATTAAAGATAAAGTTTTATATGTAAGTAAACAAATAGGCCAAAATATAAGCATGTCTTTTCGATTCATTTTTCATATATTAGGAGTTTTTGCTAAAACAACACTCCAAAAAGTATGTATCAGCTTACACCGTTTTGCTACCGCAAAAGCTATAATATGAACATTTTTTCTCAAATTATGTTTTTCTACTATATATAAGCTAATTAATAAGCACTTTTAAAGTGGTTTTTGTGCATGGCAAGTTGTTTACCAAACCCTAACCCAATTTAATTTGCATAAACACAGACACACGAGTCGTTCGTTCTTCATTCTCTCCCAAATGAACCACCATTCATTAATGGAAATGCCCGTTGTTGATGCCGTGTACAGTGCAGAAATTCGAAAAGCTCGTCGAGACTTACATCATCTGATCTCTAGCAAAAGTTGTGCCCCGATCATGCTCCGTTTAGCGTAAGATCCTTCTTGTTTATCTATAACATATTGTGATGATCAAATTGAAAATGATATGATTGTACGTAGATTTCATGATGCTGCAACTTATTGCAAGGAGACGCAGACGGGAGGTCCAAATGGCTCCATTAGGAAGCCGGAAGAGTTTGAACAAAGCGTTAACAAAGGACTGAAAACTGCCATTGACTTTTGCGGTAAACTGCTTGTGTTGTTCTGTATTGTCGCAACATTCTTATTTACATAGTTAACTTTCCTTCACAAAAGTAATATAATAAGTTTATTGATGGTACATTACATTGCAGAACAAATAAAGTTAAAGCATCCAATAATTTCATATGCTGACATTTATCAGGTTATTTCAATCATATTTAGCACAGAGACTAATGCTTTTTGGTTCTTTTAAATTTATATTATGTACTTATCGATAAGCAAGCGGTCTATTGGCAGCTTGCGGGTGTCGTTGCTGTTGAGGTCGCCGGTGGTCCTACCATTGAATTTATTCCTGGTAGAAAGGTACTTTGATTTTCCATGTAATTGATATTAGCTTTTTGTTCACATGTCTTATCTTCGGAATATAATTTTACACCTTGGAATATATATATATATATATATATATATATATATATATATATATATATATATATATATATATATATATATAATACACTTTACAGTCTCACCTAAGCTTAGGTACTAAACTTCTAAAATATATCATCTCCATAACATTGCTAAATATATCGTTTTAACTTGCTAAATATACCCGGTTTGGTTTCACTTGGTAAATATATCATCCTCCATAACATTTCTTTCTTTCATTATCGTTTTACCATTTCTGTTTTCTTTCCTCCATTATCGTTTATTAATTCACCCAAGTGAACATTACTAAACCCTAAACCCTAAACACTGAACCTAAACCCTAAACCCTAAACCTTAAACCTAAATCCTAAACCCTAAACCCTAAACCTAAACCCTAAACCCTGAACCCTAAACCCTAAACCCTATTGTGTCGATCTTGAATTTACATCTTAAAGTATTAATCGTGAATCCATTAACCGTAATCTTTATATAGTAAAACAATGTATTTTGAAGAGGTTTAGTACCTAAGCTTAGGTGGGGCTGTAATGTATATCCCCCTTTTCCCTATATATATATATATATATATATATATATATATATATATATATATATATATATATATATATATATATAGAGAGAGAGAGAGAGAGAGAGAGACTCTGATAGGAACTGATTAATTTAAATAGCTGAATGCTTACGACTTAGATTAACAGGGCCAAATTCGAGATGGCAAATCTCCTTGATTACAAGAACACAAATAACTTATTATCTGACTCACAACTGAAAAACATCAACTACATGTTTGTTACAAAAGATAACTGCTCCTAACTTATTGGATCATAATAGTTCCTTCTCTTTTAACTGTTACATGGTTGGCCTAAAGGATCCAACTGATTTCCAAAAAGGGCATTAAACTGCTCTTGCTCCTGTCTCTTAACTCATGACTTCTTTCTTATATACACTTGTAGGTTCTTTTCATTACTTCTCCATCGGTAAAATGACTTCTCCTCAAGTTAAAAATAAGGAAATTGCTCAACAAACAGATCGTAAGATTCCCAAGAAGCTTCTTCCATAGGACGGTTATTCCTAGAAACCACTAATTTGAGTACAGGTTGGCCTGCTTCATGCACCCATCGAACTCAAACTCCCAATCCTTTGTGATAGGCAAAGGAGCAATAGAGGTTGGAGAAAAAGACCCTGGAACTGGTTTGAGCATAGAAACATGAAACACAGGATGTATTTTCGCATCCGGAGGTAATTCGAGCTTATAAGCCACTGGCCCAATGACACTTTTATTCGGATAAGGACCAAAGAATCAAAGAGATAACTTTTCAAAACAACGTTTAGCTAAGTTGTGTTGTCAGTAAGGTTGAATCTTTAAGAATGCATAATCCCAAACCTGAAAATTAACTTCGCGTCGTTTGGTATTGGCTTGATTACGTATCCTATCTTGAGCTTTCGTAAGGTTGAGACGTAACAATTGCAACATATGATCGCGATTAACTAATTGTTGTTCCAATTATGCATTTTTGGTTTCGCCCGTTACATAAGGCAGAAGGAGAGGAGGATCTCGACCATACATGTGACAGCCCGAAATTTCTACCTGTACAAACCATTCACTTCAATCAAAGTCAGACTAGTTTCTGCTAACTTTTAGCACTGTTTAGAGTCTATTTGAATGTTTTAAACATAGTACATTCAAGAAACAAGCATCGGGAAGTATCTTCTAGGGTTCAATGTGCAAAAAACAAAACCCTAAACCTAAGATGTGTGTTTATGGCCAAACTTTATGAGTTTGGGCCGTAAACTCTCTTTTGGCCGTGAACTCATGCATAAAGCATGAGTTTGCATCCTTTTCTTCATTATTTCCATTTTCAAGTTCAAGAACCTCCATTTCTCTCTCAAGTATCATCAATTTCTTCATCTTGATCTTCCAAAAATGTAAGATTTCTTTCCTTTGATTTGTTGTTATATCACCTTATCTAGTAAAGATCATGTCACACCCCAAAACCGAGAACGACATAAACGTTTTTTGGGCGGAGGACGTCATGTAATGTATCGCAACAAGGAAAAATAGTAGTAAACAAACAACAACATCATCCATTGCATTAATAGTATAATTGTAATTACAAGTGTGTTCTTTCAAAGTATAAAACAACATAATGAATACTCAAAATAAAAAACGAATCTTGACCTCTCCGTCTTCATAAAACCTGGTCGTCGTTACTATCTATTTGTGACCTGAGAATACAAGTTATTTTGAAATCGAGTATCAGCAATAAAACTGGTGAATTCATAAGTAATTTAGTGTCATTGATTTGTAAAACTTGTAATGAAAGACTTGTAATTGTTTTGAAGAAAAGTTTGTATAAGTATGAAAATTTTTGTAAGTAATTGTAAACGTTTGAAAACCCTAGAAAATCCCACATTTCCTACTAGTATAAAATGTAGTCTTCTACCAAGACCAGACTGTTTTGAAGGTTTAAACCTCTACATAAGTGAAGGTTTTTCCCTTGTACAACTATTATTATTCATCTAATCTACCTCATCGATTATGTGAATGTGTCACACAATAAAGGTAATAAGGAAAATAATATAATCATTTAAGTATTATCCTTTGGTCCTAGGATAATCATGGCAGAGTAACTTGTCGAATACTGTTTACCGTAGACATGCGTCGATGTACGTCTTCCCTACTGTAGCTAACAGCCCTGGGGGTGGAATGGTAAGTCCTATAATGTATGTAATAGTATCTACTCATATAACATGTAATAGTATGGTAAGTCCTATAATGTATGTAATAGTATCTACTCATATAACATGTAATAGTATCTCATTACGTAGTATGTAATCGTATCTCTTTACTAGTATCTATGTAATAGTATCTCTTCATATAGTATGTAATGTATTCGTATAGACTCATTAATGAACTGACTCTTGTCTGATTCCTTGTACTTCAAAGTAGTATTTCCTAACTACGCCTATTATAGTTACTAGTAATGTACGTGTGTAACCGTAAGTGTACCTTTGCTACCCAAAGGTACTGGACTGATTGATAGAACATTTACGTCTATATATGTATACATGATATATAACTAATATTTAGATGACATCCGGACGAATAACTGATACCATAAGACCACATCTAAACGAGGAAAAGGAGATAAAGCGAGCTAGCCGTTCTAAGTGCTTTAAAAATTACTTATATAACTATACATATATAGGCATGCATTTGACAATATAAAAGTATAAAAGAAGTTTGGTAAAATCTTGGAAAAGTTTAATAACTAAGAAATAATGACTTGATGTCAGTTTATAAAATGATTTGAAAGTAGTTTGCCTGATAAAACAGTTTTAAGTATAGTAAAAACCTTTGTTTGAAACACAATAGTAACAGAGTTTGAAATGAAACATACAGTAAGTAAGATAGTTTGATAAGGAGCTTTAACATGTAAAAACGTTTGAAAAAGTCATTTGAAGTAATATGTTTGCTAAAACAGCTAAAATTTTAGTAAATCCATTTGCATGCTAGTTATTAATCACATGTGATTGATATAATAACTATCATGATTTAACTTGTATCCCCCACCTCCCCCCCCCCCATAAAAGCATTTATAAACATTTAAGAATATTTAAAAGGTTAATTAAGGGGTATGAACTGACCTGCAGTGAGTGGATCGTATGGAAGTGTCAGACAAGTGCTTGGTGTTAAGTGAAGACTTAGACACCCACAATGATCCTAATAACATATAAAGACATATGTGTGTGTATATATATATATATATATATATATATATATATATATATATATATATTTAATTTGTGATTATAACACTAATTAGAAAAGTAAAAACATCCTAATGCATGGAAAACACTTTGGTCAAGTGCTAGGAGGCCATTGGGTTGAAACAAGGGATTGCAAGGCATCGTGTTTGAGTTTATGGTCCATGGACCATACTTGTTGGAGTTTACGGCCCATGGGAGTTTACTCCTTGCCGTAAACTCTCAAATGGGTCTCCAAATGAGGCCTATAGCTATCATGTCTTAAGTGGTTAGGTGCTCCAAGGCTTACACAAGAGGCTAGGTGGGTTTAAGGTCCAAGAATGACCTTATATTGAGTTTACGGCCTGGGGACCACTTCCCCATGAGTTTACGACCGTAAAGTCATGGTATGAAGTACCATTTCGTGTCTTGAAGTCCCTAGTTCAATGGTGTAAGGTTCTATACTAAGTTTCAAGGCTTGGTAAGGTGTTAGGGTGCATTTTACCCCACTTAAAGGGGTATACGACCCAAGAACATGTCTTGGCCGTAAACTCCTTGGATCACATGATTCTTTGTGATTTCAAAGCCCTAAACATGTGAAACCTAGTGTACAACGACTTAGAACAAGAGTACTTATGATCTAGGAGCTTGATGGTTGTTTTTGGCCAAAAACACTAGTGTGTGTTCTTGGTGAAACTTGAAGATCTACAAAATGGAATGATTTCACAGATGAAATCATGTAAGATCACTAGTTCATGTAAGATATCAACTAGTTAGGACAAGAAACTTACGAGTTTTGAAGATCGGGGTCGAAGATCGGGAGGATACTTGAGAGGATTTCAGCCAAGGGAAAGAAGGAAATGAACTAATGGCTTAACATTCATCATATATGAGGAGTTTACGACCCTTATGGAGTTTACGGCCGTAAACTCCATTGAGGTGGCCGTGAACTCCTTGACATGTTGTTTAAGGCTTATTCTTTGAGCAATAACTTCAGCAGATAAACCCAGACACTTATCCCTTAAGTGTACAAGGCTCAGAACGCTCAAATAAACTCCTAGTTGTGCTAAAAGGTGACATAATAGAGTTTGACTTTCAATGAAGTGTTTGACTGTACTTGATAGAAAATTTCGGGTTGTCACATCATCCCCCCCCCCCCCCCCGGTTAGAGGGAATTTCGTCCCGAAATTAGAATTTAGGTAAAAGAGTAAGTATGAATACTCGAGCAAGGAGGTGGGGATACTTCCTATTCGATTTACTCTTATGCTCCCAAGTGAATTCAGGTCCTCGGTAGGCATTCTAGCAAAACTTCACTAACGGGATGCGGTGTTGCTTCTTTCGTCTGATCGTAATGTTTCCATGGTTTGTTGTAGATGCTCTTTATGATTTCCTTCCTACTACCAGAGTAGATAAGTAAGTCATTTACAAGGACAATGACGAACTGACCCTAGTAAGAATGGAGTACCCTATTCATAACAAGTTGTAATGGCCCGCTTCTCCACAACCATAACAAGTTGGGCTCGTGCCCACACCGAGAACTTGATTAATTGGCCTTGTCGGAAGTTTGCAAAAACGGGCAGTGTGCCCTTTCTTGTCGCAGTTCGCGCACTGCATTTCACGGCAAGGACCATGATGATGGAATGTGCATTTGTTGCACTTTGGAAGGTTACCAGTGTAAGGCTTAGGTGGTAAGAGATTAGTAGGTACAGTGACAACATTAACTGTAACTAGTTGTTGCTTCTTTGAGGGTTCTTGTGAGGACTTCTCTTTCCTCTTGTTCCAACCATGCTTCCTGTTGTTGTGGTCGTTTCCCATTTGTTGAACAGATGCATAAATCTTTAAACTCGTATAGTTTCCGTGGTCAATAATAGATTGTGCTAGTTCCTTGGCACTGTCAATAGTATCAGGCTGTGATGCTAACACACTTGTATGAATTTGGGATGTCAGTCCCCAAATATATCTCTCTATTTTCTTGCTCTCAGGAGCAACCATATCTGGGCAAAGAATTGCTAGATCACAGAATCTACTCATATAGGCTGATATATCAGTACCACCCATTTTTAGATTCCAGAGTTCCTTCTCAAGTTTTTGAATTTCTCCTCACGGACAGTACTCTCGCATTAGCATGGCTTCTAAATTTTCCCAACTTATCGAATTTGCCACTATCAGAGTTAGTGCCTTAACGTGGCCATTCCACCAAGTTAAAGTTGTTTCTAAAAAGGTACAAGTAGCAAACTTG